GTTCCTTCTGTTGAAGTTAGAGTTGGGAGAGCTGGTTCACATGTAAAAGAATTCACTTAGACCTTCTCTGTAGCCATTGGTGATAAGTTCAGGGTGGACCCCAAGAATGTTGGGGTGCTACCTGAAATGATAAGGAATAGACATGTGGTCCTGGTGTCCTGAAAGAATTCACTTGGGACAGTCTCTAAGTTAAAGAAAGGCATTTATTGGGGTGATGCACGCAAGTGGGCCTGCTCCTCATGAGGCAGAGCCCCAATTGGCTCTAGTCCACATGGGAGGCACAGCATAGGTCACAGGCTCTGCTCCCTGAGTAGAGCAGCTTCTGCTTCCCAAAGGTGGCTAGCTAGGTCAAAGGTATGGTTTAAATACAATTTTATAGAATAGGAGGAAGAGGACAATAGAATGGCTCCAAAATGCCTGGGACATTATGTAGTCCAGAGATGATAAGCAGAGGGAACAGGAAAGGGGAGGGGAAGAGTTGTTCTGAAATTGAGGTTGCTTTGTGAAAGCACACAGATAAGTCTACAGTGGGGACTTTTTGGTCATTTTTCTGGCTGGTCACTGATGTGGAGGGCAAAGAGTGCCCTAGGATTAAAAACAATATTAAGGGTTAGTTTCCCAGGTCCCTGGTGGGGGGGGGGTTGAGGCTCATTCTGTAGCCCATCCTGTACCTTGAGACCCTGGATCTTGAAAACTTCCCAAGTCCTTTTCCCTTATCTCACAATGCTATACAACTTGCACCAAAAGAGTTGCCTTTGTTTCCCTTATCTTGAGATGCCATAAAACTTCCCCCTATCCTGGACCATAAAAATTCCTTGTGTCCGTCATCCTGAGTCATGAAATTTCCCAAATTCCTTATCCTGGGTCCCCTCTGCTGCCATCATCTTCCTCATCCTGTGTTTTGACAACCCCTCCCCATATCATGTAAGATAAAACAGACCCCTATCCCTTTGTAAGTTGCTAATCCTCTTTCCAGAGCTAGTCCACTGCTTTTGCATCAATAAAGCTCCCAATTGTTACAGTGAAGGTCTAAGTGAATTCTTTCACACCTGAACCAGCTCTCCCAACTCTAAACCTCAACAGTCACATCCTGCATCCTATCTCCTATCTCAAGTCTTGCTTGCTTCATCTGCCTCAAGCACTACCTCACCACTTCCTTTTTCCTCCTTTCCTTCCTTACTTTGTTCCTCCTTCCTTTTTTCCCCTTCCTTCCTTCCTCTTTCCTTCCTCTCTCCTTCCTTTCCTTCTCTTTCTCTTTTTTTGCTTCTTTCTTTCTTTCCCTCTATCCACATAAAAGCCTTGCCAGAGGGTGCTCTGCCCAAAGGAAATTTTAATTTCTATCTCTGAAACTTTTTCCCTTTTTTCTGAAATACTAGTGATGAGGTCTAGAAGTTTAGGGGTGCAGGAACCCCAAAATCATGACACAAGGATCTTGGCTGAAAGAATTCAATCCATGCCTTCTTTCAGCCAAAGACAAGGTTTATTAAAAATCTGCCGTATTGGCCAGACTATTAAGGAAATCCGAGCACTTGTGAACAATTGTAAAAATCTGAGCAACGGCTAGATTATGAAAGTCTAAGCATGTTAATGGAGACAAAATGGACTTTATATATAGAAAGACTGAGTGAGGATGTAGGAGTGGCTAAGTAGTTTAGGTGACTGGAGGAGGGGTCTAAGGACATCTGGATGGGAGTGGCCAGAATGCCTGGGAACTGGACTTTGTGGCCAATAGATGGAGCCCAGCCAGGATTAAGGGTGGGAAATGATTGGGGCCAAAGAGAAGTAAGACAATGGAGGGCTAGGCTAAATGAAGGGTAAGAGAATTGAGAGATTGGGGGCATTGCCACAATGAAAGGCCAGTTGATGCCATTATAGCCTTAGGCAAATGCCAGAGATTTGGCCACAAAGTCCAGGGTTTTTCCTTTTTGGGGTCTAGCTCCCAACCTCATCACCACCCTTAACCTGTAAATCACTCTAGCTCTCAGTGATGGGCCAATAATACGCCTCGGGATATTTGGTTTGGGCTGTGATTGGTTTAAGAAGAATGTAACAGCAGTTGTTTCTGTTTGGTCAGAAACCCTGAGAGTCTTACTTTCCCAGATTTTTTTTCTTAAAGAGACCATTCTTTGCCTCATATTAAGCCTTAATCACTGAGCTGGCGTTGCCTCAGTCAGACTGAGACCTGTTAAAGACCTTAGCTTCAAAAGATCAACGTTCCTCTCTGTGTCCAGGGTCATCTCCAGATCTATATATCAAGCCACTGGACTCAGATGCATCCAGAGGAGAAAGTGAGGCTGGTGACTTTGCATAGCACTTGCTCACTTAAATCCAATTCATTTGCACGTCATGGAATGCTGTAGTCCTCTTCAAGAAAGAGGGACAAACATTAAATAACCTGCAGGGGTTTTTTTAAAGCGTGTGTGTGTGTGTGTGTGTGTGTGTGTTCTTTTTTTTTTTAGGCAGTTGGGATTCAGTGACTTGTTGCCCAGAGTTACACAGCTAGTAAATGTCAACTTTTGGTCTGAGGCTGGATTTGAACTCAGGTCCTCTTAACTTCAGGGCCAGTGCTCTATCCACTGTGCCACCTAGCTGCCCCTAGCCTACTGTTTTACAGATAGAAAAAACAGAGCCACAGACTGCCCAAGGCTTGTAACCTCAATTTATCTTTCCTTTATGACACCTAGTGTGAAAGCCAATCCTTAGAACTTCGTTTTCCTATCTGTAAGGAAAGGGCCACAATGTCAAATCAGTCAGTCAGTAAGCATGTATTAAGTGGATATCATCATGGTCCAAGTCCTGACGAAACAAATGTAAAGAATGAAATAACTTCTACTCTAAAAGAATTTGCATTCTAATGGGAAAGATCATAGGTACATATATAAGCAAATATGGAATGAATATAAAATGAAAATATACATGATGGTTATCTGTGAGGTGGTTATTGATGAAGGCCGCTAGAATGTTGTGGGTATCATGGAGGACTTTAAAGGGATGGAGGTGCTTGAACAAAGAGAGATGGAGAAAGAGGTGGAGATAAGGAGGCAATATATTTTGGTCATCAGCCCTGGCCATTGCAAAGACAGGGAAATGAAATAAAATGTCCTGGGTGAAAAACAGAGAGCAGGCCAGTTTGACTGGGTTGTAGAGCACAATATATTATGCAGATAGGCTGGAAGCAAATTGAGAAAGGCTTTAAAATCTAAATAGGAATTTTTTTTTGATTGACTCTTAAGTTCTGCTTTTGGGACTCAATTTTTTATCTGCATAGGGAGCCTTTGGGGTTCTTTTCTCTAGGCCTATAACCCCAGAAGCCAGAGGGAATCACTGGGATTGATTGAGCAGAGTGGAATTGATATGGTTTGAGAGTGCCGGGAACCCCGAAATGCAAAGGTACAGGGCAGGTCTGCCTCAATAGAATTTGGCCACTCAAGCTTTCCAGTCAAAGTAGCAAGTTTATTGTGATGCCAGTAGAAGCAGGCAAGATTCTAAATGAATCAATGCAATTTAATGGGATTAAGATTGGTACTTGTATACAGAAAAAGACTGTCAGAAAATTTGGATGGGATTAAGGACAGGTAAATCCCCAGTAGTGGTACAGAAGTAACAGTGAAGGGGTCTAGATGGGATTAAGGAGTATCAAATAAGCTAATTGAGTAATGAAGGTGAGCTGGAATGGGCCAGATGTCTTGGGGGAAGGTACCAGTTATCTGGGCTACTGAAATGTATGGAACAATTCAGGGACTAGGTTGCTTTCAAAGACATGGTCTTTTCCTTTTAGGGGTCCAGCTTGAATCCCATAACCCAACCATTATGACATGGACAGACCTGTGCTTATGCAAAACCATTTTGGCAGCCAGACTAGCACTTAGTCAATTTGCTCCAGGCCAGGCATACAAAGAGTGGGGAGAACAGACAGGTGAGGTTGACTGTCTAATTTCTGTCACTTGCGGTGAGATTAGAGGAGACACAACTGAAGGAAATCTTGAGCAAGAAGCAAGATATCAGCCAATCAACAAGTTTGTATTAAGCACCTACTATGTGCTAGGGACTGTGCTAGGTTGCAGATACAAATAGAATGAATGAAATAACCCCAGCTTTCAAGGAACTTACATTGTAGAGGGGAAGACAATAAGTATATATGTAACTAAATTAAGATTAAGTATAAAGAGAACAAATTTAAATAAATTCAAAGCAGTTAAATATAGGGTAGAGAGGGAAGGGACTAGTAATAGGGGGAAACAGGGACCTATCTCCATTGTTAAGTAGTTCCAAAAAGACAGGGCTCCTAAGAAGACAGTTCATGTGCCATTTAAGTCCCTTTACGGCCTTTTGGCCACCTTTTGACTTCTTTCATTCTAGAAACTCTGAGGATCCTTCACCTGCATTTCCAGGAGAGAGAAACTGAGGGGTAAGGTAATTGGCTCTTTTTCTCATTTCCCCTGCTTGTAAATTCATCAGAACTCTTTCCACATCCAGCATCCTGAGAGAAAAGCCCCAGCAAAGTAGTGCTGAGCTATCTGGCCTGAGTGGCATTGGTGCATTGGTTTTCCTTGTGATGGCAAGGTAACAAGCATTTAGTAAACCTTACTAGGCCTTACCAGGCACTGTGCTAAGTGCTAGGGATACAAATACAAGGGTGTGAAGTGTCCTGAAAGTTTTCTTTGTACAACTCACAGGATCATAGAATCTAAGTGCCTAAAGGTATTGATCCCAATGATATTGTTAGGTAGATTTGATTCCAGTGATTACTGAATGCTCTTTTATTGTATAAGGCATGATTCAGAGCATGATAGCTAGGAAGGGATACAAACTGCCAAGCAACATGAAATGTCCCCCTTCACTGACCTCTGACTACACAGCTACTTTAAGAGCACCCTGACAAAAGGAATTCTGAAGAACTGCCTGAGAGGGATAAGATTCACCAAATTCTGCGGTTACCTCTTCCCTCAACCTTTCTTTCTCCAGACAGCTGGCAGTGTTTGAGGGATACCAAAAGAGAATAACAGAGTTGAACTCCAAAATCCAGGAAAAAAAGTGAAGAAAAGGAATCAGAGGTAAAACCTTGTTTCAGCCTTTAGGCTAGTGCTTGATGGTCTCTGAATTCAAGGCAAAATTGAGTTTGTGAACCAAAGAAAACTAGAGTCAGAAGACTGTGTCCTCCTCAGAAATATTGCACATACAAAGCAATGCTGGAAGGGGCCCAAATCACAGAATTGAAAAAAATCTTGAAAGGACTTTGGAGATCATCTAGTCCAACCATGTTACTTGGAAATAAGAAAACTGAGTTCCAGAGAGAAGATGGGATCTGCCCAAGATTGTGTAATTATGCAGTTGCAGTTTCTTGAGTCTCCTGACTACTTGTCCAGGGCTTTTCCCATTGCATTGCATTTCTTTTCACCAAGAGAAGTCCATAGATAATTAGACTGTCAGAGTTTGAAGGGATATTAGAAAACATCAAGTATAGTTAAGTTTAATTTTACAGGGGAAGAAATTAAGATCCAGAGAGCACTGATGTTCAGACAGCTTTGAGTTCTATTCCTAGCTCATCATCATGACTCTCTTCTCTTTAGTTTCTTGATTTTTAAAGTGAGAGGCCTAGACTAGATGATCAGTCTTCAAGTTCTGGAATTAAGCGACTCTGTAAGTGATGAGACAGTTGAGGCTTAATACAGGAAATATTTAAAAGTGGGAGAGATCTTTGTATACTGGAAGAATCCTAGAAAAACTTCCTGGAGGAGGGAGGATTAGAGCTTCATTGGTTCTAAAGGTCTGGGCTTAGTGATTGTTTGGAGGGTGAGCTTCTTCTGGTAGTGACCCTGACCAATCTTTTGCTTTCTTTTTCCTTAGAATGGAGTTTGGCCAGCAACTACAGGAAATGATGGAGAAAAATAAGACTCTCTGGGAATTCCATGTGAGGGGATAACCTGTGGTCAGGATTGAAGATAAATGGTTATTGGTGGGGAGTATGGAAGGTGGGATGTAGGATAAGGGGAATACTTGAAGAAAGGGACACACCTAGTATGCAGAAGCGGACAGTGAAATAAAAACCATCGTGTAGAGCTGAGGGTGAATTGAAAGTGTAGTTAGGGAGAGTATATGGAATTACTGGTTTAAGGAGTTGTGTTTAAAGTGGAGGAGGGCTGGCATAGTTTTTAGACGGTTTCAAGAAAACTAGATTTGCAATCTCAGTGGAAGTTTTCAAGTAGATGGCTATCTGTTGGTGATGTAAAAGAGATTCGTGTTCAGGAATGGGTTAGGAAAGAAGGCCTCTGGTGTCCTTTCTAACTGAAATTTTGTGAACTTCTATGCTGTGGTGTGAGGGCAAGCATTCCTGTGGAGGGAGGGGTCTTTAGGTGCAGCTGGCCTCATTTTCTTCCTTCTATTAGAAGACAGACAAACTATCCCAGGAAATCAGCAATGTCAACAACAACAACAAGGAACAGCTTCTGATGAGGGTGAGAAACCCGTGTTGGAGGGAGAATGATAGAGGGGAGAGAAAGGTGAATAATGCCTGTTTTGAGAAAATGAACTTCCTCTTTCCTAGGACTGTATTCTAGATATCTCCTAAGGATAACCTACCTTTCTCATGGGGGGGAGATGAACATTTGCCCCAAATAGAGCTGAAGACTGGGTGTCCACCTATTCAGAGTCTTCAGGAAGGGAGATTGATAGGGTAGGGACAGGAAAATCCCAGACGAGAGGGCATCTGACATAACTTGTATTCCTATGACCAGAGAGGCTAACTCCGGAGAAGCTTGACAGTATCCAGAAGCAGCTGGACAGGTTGACCCAGCCTGAGGCCAAGACTGAAGCCACAGCTGTCACCAGTGTGGATGCCTTCCTGTGCAGTGAGGGGGCTGCTGCAGCTGTGTGAGCCTCTGTGGGGCTCAGGGGGAAGGAGGAGGAAGTAAAGGAGGGTTGGCTAGGCCTTGGGGTTTGAGGAATGCATCTCAGAAGAGGCAGCTCTGATTTCCAAGCAATATTTCTTAGGAACTTTTGAGGAAGAAAACAAGATAGCCACAGAATCCCTGGAGGCAGCCTCCCTTCACTATCACCAGCTACAGCAGAAATACCAAAGGTGAACCCCCAAGATTCCCCAGAGGAGGTGGTGATCAGTTGATTACGTGTGTTTCTTCATCTGCATCTCATTAATCTCTCACTGTTTCTCTCTGTCTCTCCATATCTCTCTCCTTCTCTTTTTTATCTATCTATCCTCCTTTCTTTATCTTTCCTTCACTCTGTTCTTCTCTTTCTCTCTGTCCATCTGCCTTGCATAACCCATTCTAACTTGGCCTTTCCATTTCTGGCTCCTGGCACAGGCTGAAGAGGGAGCTAGAATCCGTTGGCCACAGCGGCATCAGAGGATCCAAGGAGACAGGCACAGAAGAGGCTGCTGAATGGGAAAGTGGCATTGTTACCAAGGTGGGTGAGGGAGAGGTAGACACGAAAATATTCATCTTCTACCTGTGTAAGAGCTCAGATAAAGAAAAAGAATCAAAGACACTTAGGAGACAGTGACCTAAGGAAGCAGAGAAGAAGATCTGGAAGATAGATGCTGGCAGCAAGGATTAATAAAAGGCAGAGAATAAAGGGAGAGGTACATGGTGGGGATGTTACTGCTAACTGGCGCTGGGTCCCTCCTTATTCTTTTCTGCCCTCCTAGTCTGTCATGGAGCTTCCCAGGACACAGAAGAAAGATCAAGAAGTCAGGCCTGATCCTGGCAAACATCACTAGGTTCATCTTCATCCTAGAGGTTTCCAGAGAGTTTGGCCACCTGTCATTTAAGTGAGGTGAAGCTTTGCCTGCATCAATTTGGAGAGACTTTGTAGCCTGGCCTTTGAGATGCCTACCTGAATAAAGAATTCCTCATTCTCTGCTCCTGGTTCTGGCTATGTTTTTGTCATTGTTCCAGGGTTTTAGCCTACCAGTCAACTAAGCATCTAGTAGGTGCCAGTCACTGGGTTAGATGTCAGGGATAAACAGACAAAAGTGAAACAGTTCCTGTCCTCAAGAAGTCTTTAATCTACAAGACTTAAGAGAAGCTTAAAAAGGCAAAAAGCAAAGAGAAATCATAAGGGTTAAAGGTTAAACTTTAAATAAGGTTAAACTGTTTACATTCCTTCATGGGAAGATGACACTTGTAACTCCTAAGGATTTTCTTATTATTAGGGCAGTTAGACAGAGGGCACAGGTGAGAATTGAATATGATAGGATGATATCTAAAAAATAAAATTAAAAGTGTGCACTGTGAGAAGCACAAAGGGAGAAGCAGAATGTGGCAAATCTCAGATAAAAGAAGTGTGAAAGCTTTTACACTGGAGGGGAAGAGATGTGGTGGTGGGGAATAACACATGAACCTTATTCTCATAAGAATTGGCCCAAAAAAGAAATAACGTGCACACTTACTCGTGAATAGAAATCTATCTTACTTTTCAGGAAAGTAGGAGGGGAATGGGATAAGAGAACAGAGAGGGCTGATAGAAGTGGGGATGGATTGGGAAGGCAATAATTAGAAGCAAAACATTTTAGAGGAAATAAAAAAATGTGAAACGTGTCACTGGAAAAACAACTGACCTTTGGATAGACCTAGGAGAGACAATTTAGAAATTATTGGACTATCTGAAAAGCATGATAAAAAAAGAGCCTAGCATCATCTTTTAAGAAATTATTATGGAAAACTGCTCTGATATTCTAGAACTAGAGGTAAAATAGAAATTGAAAGAATCCACCAATCATGTCTTGAAAGTGAGCCCCAAAGGAAAACTCCTGGGAATATTATAACCAAATTCCAGAGTTCCCAGGTCAAGGAGAAAAATATTGCAAACAGCCATTCAAATACTGTGGATTTAGCAGTCTCTACCTTAAAGCATCAGAGGGCTTGGAATGGGATATTCCTGAGGGCAAAAGGGTAGGATTACAACCAAGAATCACCTACCCAGCAAAACTGAGTATTCAAGGGGAAAATGGACATTCAATGAAAAAATAAAGGACTTTCAAGTATTCCTCATGAAAAGACCAGAGGTGAATAGAAAATTTGACTTTCAAATACAAGGCTCAAAAGAAGCAAAAAGGTAAATAGGAAAGAGAAATCATAAGGGATTTAATAAGGTTAAATTGTTTACATTCCTACATGGGAAAATGATAACTTGCAACTCCCAAAACTTTCTTATTAGGGAATTTAGAATTAGTATATATGGACAAAGGGTGTGGGTGTGTGTTGAATATGATGAGATGATTATCAAAAAATTAAGGAGTGAGAAAGAAGATGCACTGGGAGAAGGGGAAAGGGAGAGGGAGAATGGGGTAAACTATCTGACATAAAAGAAAGAGATTTTGGAAAGAGATTTTGCAGTAGAGGGGAAAATGGGAGAAGGAAGGTGTGAACCCTACCCTTATCAGAATTGGCTCAAAGAGGAATAACATACACACTCAGTTGGATGTAGAAATCTGCTTTACCCTTCAGGATAGTAGGAGGGAAAGGGGATGAAGTAGGGGTGGTGGGGTGGAGACTGATCGAAGGGAAGGTGAATAGGGGTGATGGGGTGCTTGGACCCTTGTCTTTGGGAGCTTGTGCTTGTACTTGGACCCCAATTTCTCCCTAGTCTCAGAAACACTGTCTCTGACAACCACTCCCAGCCCAAGGACACTGTGTCTAGCAATTACTCATGCGTGGGCCCCAGCAAGACCCTTATCTCTCTCCCTGGTGCAGCTACACAAAGCTGGGTGAGAGAGTGCTGGCTGCTCAGGCCCCAGCCCTCAGATCATGTCTCTGGAAGCCTCCCAATTCCTTAGTAAGTTCCTGTCTTGTGAGAAAGCTTTCCCTTGTTGCAAAGCATTCTCTCATCAAGACAGAGGGAGAAGGGTGCCTTGCCCAGCCCAAGGAGTTTTGTCCTTGGCCGGACCAAGGACTCTTCCTCCTGCCAGACTCCCGAGAGCCATGCTTCTGTCTTCTCCCTCCCTGACTGGTATACTCCCTACACTTTCCCATCCATAACTCCCAAAGACACTTAGACCTTCGGATTACCTCATCAGTGTCCCTGGCATTCCTTTCCCATGCCCTTTTCCATATAAACCCTCACTCCATCTTCAGTCTTGAAGTTCCTTAAGAATCCTTGCCACTGAAAAGCATAACAATAAATCTCTGCCACCTTGACTTGAAGAATGCTTGGGTCTGTGAATTCATTCCAGATGACCCCGTCCTGTACTCCAGTCTTTGAGGGGTCTCGACCTCTCAGACTGCAACATTTATGGCACCCAAAGTGGGGCTTGTCTGAAGTCTCAAGCCTTCTCCGAGTCAAGGTAAGCCTCCCCCTCCTCTCTCCCTGTAGTTGGGTCGCCCTCAAGCACCTAGGAAGGCTTACTGGGGCTTTGGGTCGAGCTGCGACAGGCTCTAGCAGATTTCCCTCTTGACAAGGGATGCCTTGTTTGGGAATTCTGCAGAATTTTTCTCCTTCACCAGGACTGTCAGGCGAGGAGACTACAGGAGCCAGTCCCTTTTTTTTCCTTAAGGCTTATATGCAAAGAGGATGGGCCAATCTCCCTCTAACCTCGAGATTTGCCCCTAGTTATCTTTTACAGAACTGGAGAAAGCTCAGTCTCCAAGACCTTAAGGAAATTTTGACTGCTTTCCATACGATCTGGAGAGCCATGAAAAAAATTGTCTGATTTGTGTAGGGGATTTCTGACAAGTCTCTCTGAGCTTTTAGATTCTCCCTGTCATTACCATGTATCTGTTCTGTGTTTGTGTCTGTGTGGTGTGAGTGAGTGTCCATTTGCAGCCAGGTAGCAAGAGTAGCATCCCAAGGCTGCAGCTGGACTCTGGAATGCCACTTTCTTTCTCTCCCCCTCCCTTCCTGATTACAGCAGCCTCAGAGGAGCAGGTGGATGGGAGAGAGAAAGAGAGAAAAATATTTTATTTTAGGTTATATGATTGGTAAAAGGCAAGTTGAGAAGGATCCTCAAAGTATCAGATCAAATTAGAAAGAAATAAGATATGTGCAGTTATAAAGGGACTTAATCAAATGCATCACAGGGATAAGTAGGTAGAAGGAAAGGCAAGAAATTTTAAGATGTAGGAATGAGAGGAGTATGGGTAGAAAGAAAAGCATAATCTATTTGCATAACAGAGTGAACAGAGAGTTTGAGAGTAAAAGGTTTGGAAACTTTTGGAGAATTGTTGGGAAAAAATTCTCTCTCTTTCTCTCCATTCTAACTCTGGCCAAGTTTTGAATGTGGAGGGAAAGACAAGATAGAAAGGGGAACCTTTTCCCCTCAGATCAAAAACAGAGGTAGCACTTAATCTTTCTGCCTCACATAAAAGAGAAAAGTTTTGGTGCTGGAACACAACCAAAAGGTAATGTAATTCATTCTGGTAATATTTTAAATGAAATGATGCTCTTAATTTAATATTTTAAGTCAGAATTTATTATACTGTT